CCCCCCCCACCGAGCGAAGCGAAGGTGGGGGCTATGAAGTACTGTGGGGTGGAGCTGAAACAGCGACCACAGATTGGGACTCTACATGTAGCAAGGCTCCAACCCCTGCCGAGCGAAGCGAAGGCGGGCTTTGCGTAGTAGTGGGGCGAGCTGGAACAGCGAGCTCCACGGGTTGGGACCAACCATGCCCACCCGCCCGCAAAGCGGGCGGCACTCGGCTAGTTGTTTATCTGATAAAGTAAGAAAACGCCACTTTTGCCCATCCTCAGCCAAGAGACGCGGTGGTCGTCAACCTTCGCTCGGTATTGCCGACTGCGCACGTTTTGTTTCGGCGGACGACGACGAGCTCGGCGGGCTTATCCCCAGCCGCGCCACCCACCGCGCGCTGGAGCAGCTGCTGGACACACTGCGGGACGTGGAATCCGTTTCCAAGAAATTGCAGTCCGAGTCGTTGACAATGGTCGACGCTCGGGCTCTTTTTGACGGACTTCTTGAAGTGTTACCGTCATTTTCGACACACATTGGCAAGTTATTATCATCTTTTATTCATTGTTTGTATTATATTAACGTTATATAAGTGCCTTTTATCTTAGTCCCGGATGCCGAGATCGTACAATGTCCAGAGTTTGAAACCGCTGCTGTTAAAGTGCTGATGCGACCATTTGAGAGAGAAGTGAACGATGTGAGCCAAACCGCCGGTATGGATGGAGTGCGTGAGGACGGCTTTGCCGATCGGATTCTCAAGCGGCGCAAGACGCTAACGCCTCGCAAGGCGTACGACCTGATCGCCATTATTCCACCATCGTCGAACGTCGTGGAACGACTGTTCAGCTCTGCTCGTGCTGCTCTTTGCCACGAGCATCATCGCTTGTCACCGATGGCCCTGAAAATGGTTCTTTTCCTCAAGGTAAACGAATCATACTGGAATGTGTCGACGGTTACTAGCTGTATCTAGGCTACAGGCAGTCAGTCATAAAGGCAAGTAAACACGACGCTGTTTTGTTGCAATACTTTTTTATTTATTGGTTCAATACAGTTATTTATTGTCGCAACCAGCGAAAGACAGCGTGCTATTTATCTCTTTGCCATCAAGCGAATAAGGTATATACTGTCTTTTCGGTATTCCTTCCTGTATCTTCGTCTGTTTTTTTCTTCCTTACAAAATATCGTTATAAGAAAAAACCAGTTTTGTGTGCGTTTTGTGTGTCATAAATCTTGTCTGATTTGCATCGCACTTCAACCGCATCACTTTCATCGGTCCAAAGCATTCCGTCTCATTTGCAGGCAAATTTCGAACGCCAAAAAGCGATAAACCTCCATGGCATCCCCGCCATGGCGCACCTACGCCACGTTCCAGTCCTCTACTAGACGTCCCGATACTCCCAACGTCCAGGAATCGGCGGGATTTTTCTCCCGGACCTTCCTCTTCTGGGTCAAACCCTTAATGCAACAAGCGCACAAGCAGCAACTCAACGCCAGTGACGTGTGGCCTTTACGCCAGTCCATCCAAGCCGATGTCATCCTCCAGAGATTCAAGACGCCATTGCAGCAACGTAAGAACTCCCTTCCCAAGGCTTTTGCTCACGTTTTCTGGTTTCAATTCGTCCTCACGGGGTTGACAATGCTAGTGTCAATGTTGTGCAACTTAATGGGTCCCATGGCACTTAACCGAGTCGTGACGGCTCTTTCGGATACTTCCGAAGAGGACGAAAAGCTTGTAACTACTGCAGCTCGATGGGTGGGTCTAGTATTCGCAGCTCAAGTGATACAAGCTCTTGCGGATTGCTACACAGGGATACAGAATGAAGTCACTGCTATCCAGTGTATTTGCTTGCTAAAAACGTTATTATACCGGAAGATGATGAAGTTGAGTGCCAGTTCCCGCAAAAAGAAATCAACAGGAGAGCTGACCAACATGTACACTGCCGACTGTGAGTCTTTGGTGCGTACGGCGTTGGTGGTGCATCAGATGTGGCTCATTCCACTGCAGATCATCGTGGTTAGTTACATGCTGGTCCGTGTACTAAGTTTTGCCGCGTTTGCGGGGATCGCAGTGATCGTGTTGATGTTGTGGCTAAATCATTTGGTATCGAAGAGGATGCATAGCTTACAACGCAAGGTGCGACGTGAGAAGGATAAACGGATGAAAAAGGTGACAGAAGCGTTTAAAGCGATGAGCATAGTCAAGCTTAATGCGTGGGAGGACCCGATTACGGCGAGAATTAACGCAGCAAGGGAGACGGAGCTGCATGCTTTGCTCAAGATGCGCATCATGACGTCACTGAGCATTGTGCTGCTCTGGGGGATGCCGGTTTTCGTAAGTATAGCTGCGTTTGGCACTTTTTCCGTCGTACTACACCGTGATCTTACGCCAGCGATCGTGTTTACGAGTCTCGCACTGTTTTTATTGATCCAAGCACCACTACGTAGCATCACGTCTATTGTTTCTATGGCTATTCAATGCAGCGTGGCATTGGAACG